AATTGCACTAGCACTTGCATCTTCGGGAATTGCTGCTACATTATTAGAAGGTGGTCGGACCGCACACTCTGCATTAAAATTGCCATTGAATGTACAGGTGATTGAAACTCCAACTTGCAATATATCGAGAAATTCTGCTATGGCAAAAGTTCTGCGATTAACGTCAATTATTTTATGGGATGAGTGTACAATGGCGAATAAAAAATCACTAGAAGCATTCAATCGAACAATGCAAGATTTACGTGGTAATCAACAGCTTTTTGGTGGTGCTTTGATATTACTTTCAGGGGATTTTCGTCAAACATTGCCTGTCATTCCTCGATCAACTCCTGCTGATGAAATAAATGCCTGCTTGAAGTCATCAGTTCTTTGGAGATATCTACAAAAATTGACACTAAACATTAATATGCGTGTTCACCTACAAAATGATCCAGCTGCCCATGAGTTCTCAAAACAATTGTTAGAAATTGGTGACGGCAAAATACAAATCGACAGAACCAACGGATTGATCGCTGTACCGAACAATTTTTGTACAATTGCGCAATCGATAGATGAATTGATTGAATGTGTTTTTTCCGAATATTGTACAGAATTACAGAAATCATGATTGGTTGACAGAACGCGCCATTTTAGCACCGAAAAACATTCATGTCAATGCAATTAATTTTCAAATTCAAGCGAAACTGCCAGGCGTAGTCACGAAATATAAATCAATTGACAGTGTTATGAATCAAGATGAGGCAATGAATTATCCAATTGAATTTTTAAATTCATTGGAGCCGGCTGGTATGCCACCGCATTGCTTGAATCTGAAAGTTGGTTCTTCGATTATATTATTGCGAAATATTAATCCACCAAAACTGTGTAACGGAACCAGATTGGCAGTGAAAAAGTTATTGCCAAATTTGATTGAAGCTACGATCTTAACTGGTAAATCAAAAGGAGAAGTTGTTTTGATACCGCGTATACCTATGATTCCAACTGATATGCCTTTTGAGTTCAAACGTTTACAATATCCTGTGCGTTTATCATTTGCGATGTCCATCAACAAGGCCCAAGGTCAAACACTTCACGTTTGTGGTGTGAATTTGGAGGAACATTGTTTTTCACATGGCCAGTTATATGTTGCCTGTTCCAGAGTCGGTACCCCCAGCCGTTTGTTTATTTATGCTCAAAATGGAAAAACAAAAAATATTGTTTATCCAAAGGTTTTGGATTAAGTGTGTTGTAAATAGCTAGCAATTGATTTCGATTTTAAATAAAATATTTTTTTGATTAAATAAATGAATTTGATGTTCCGATTTGTTTATTTTATTTCACTTTATACGTAGCGAAGCACGGACCGGGCCGCTAGTATTATTATAGATATTTGTGATTAAAATTCTTTTACTACCTACGAAATAATATAAAAGATATTATCGTAACTTCATTTTTTATAAAAATTTAAATGGACTTCGGAGAAAACAACCAGCATAAATTAAAACCTGAAACTGACAAAAGATGGATTGAGAACACTCGTTTTAAAGAAAAACAGAATCGGTTGTTTATAAATCAATTTCTTTTGCTTCTAACTGAATTTATTGCATAGTTTTTTTTTATAAGGTCACATACGAGCTAATGTTGCTGTACTGAAAAGAAAAATGTCCTCTTATGTCAGTGATAGACATTTGCAACAAAACAATGATTGCAGATGCGTTACTGACCTTGTTTTTGCCAGAAAAAACCAGTACTCTCTTCTTTTAAAAGGCCCTATGTTGTAATCCTGTTTATTATGACAGTGAAATTAAAGAAAATAACATGCTAAGTTATTAATAATACTGACATTTATTTTTCATGCATTCTTTCAACATTTTCCTATATACCATCATGATAGCAGACTGTCTTTTATTTAAAGAGCGCAGTTTATATTGAATTTCTAAGGGTTATAATATTGAGTATTGTGAAGAGAAAGGAATAAATCATATACAACATCCGGGGGATCTCGCAATGTACTCGTACATCGTTTATATTACGAATGTAGTAGCTTTTTCTCTTATGTGCCTTTATTGTTTCGAGTATGATATGTTTATGCCAAGAATAGAAATATTTGTTAGATTAGATCATTCAAATAGAAATTACCAGTAAGGTCATATAAATTATCGCTCATATTAAAAATTCAAAACGATCGGTACATATAATTGTTTGTAACAGTATCTTTCTTAAATTAGTAATAATTTAATGAACAATTATGAGAATTATTTACATATATATCAGATTTATTAAACATTCGTTGTTTTTTTAAGGAGAGAGAGAGACGGCAGCCTCGCTGACGTTACTAATGTCACTTCTAGAGCGTTCCATGATATTTTAAAATGAAACTTCAATTTTTCTTAATGCTTCTGTATTTCTCGAAGGTTCTTCATAATCACATAATTCAATGATACGCACTCACTGAACTCTGAATTCGGCCGTCGTGCGTCCAGACGTCATATTTATACCAAGATTTAAACACAGTTCTATTCTACTTTTAAACAACCTTTGATTACGTTTTACTTTTAACAATAATCATAAATACTAACGAGGTTTGATAAGAATTTATGACGGCCTCAAATTGTTTTCATGTCGCAACCGTTATTAAAGCTGGTAACTCTGATATATACAAATTTATAATAGACATTCCACATTATTTTATATTTACTTCTTCATCTTAACTCCTTCACTTGTGCTATATTTATCAAATATAGTTGCAGAATTGTAAAAAAAATTTATAATCTATAAAATATCAAAAACTTTGATCCTTGTTTCTTTCTTAACCTTTTCACTAATAAATGCGTGTAAAATTTAAATGCTCATAGAATTTGATCCTACATTAATTTTGAACTTAGGTGGGCATATGACGTATTATATTACAAAACATTCTATTCAGCACATTCAGAACCATAAGTAAATAAACATTACCACTGATTATATATGAACAGTGAGTTTAATATTATGTACAGTAAATTATTTTTACCTTCACAAATCAGGAGTAGTATACAACATCACATCTGGTTCAATTGCAGCAGCATCAAATCGTTCAGAAATTGACATTAATTGAAATGAATTTTACCAGAATTGAATGTGCTCCACTCAATGATAATTGTCAATTCAGAATATTGTGATCATCTCGAAAATTAATTACTACGTAAAATTTTGAAAGAATAAAATTAACCAAATTTTCTTTGATATGCTTATGATATATAATATATGTATATGATCGGAAATTTTATGAACATATTAAAATTCATACTTAGGTTATTTTAAATAAGCAAAATCGGATCACTTTCAGTTCAAATACAAGATGTCTTTAAATACTAAATTATTTTTGGATACTAATATGAAATCTAGATTCAAATACTCTGTTGCACAGACAAATTGTATGAGTATTTAATTTTCATAATAATAGATTTACTAAAAATCTTTCACTTATTTGCTTTCTTGTAACTAATATCATAACGACACCGATTTTTTGATATTTTAGTTAAGAAAGCAACATAACATATATTATGTCCATGAAATCTTATTTCTTTTCACAGGACTTTATAAACTTTGTCTTTCTACCTTTGAAGGATTTCAGAGACTTTGAAAATAAAATCTGGTTTAAGTCGTGGAAAATAAAAAATATTTCAACGGACTTAAAAGTTCGGATTTTCTGCTGGCACTTTTAGGTTTAGGCTTTCATCACAAATTTGAGGGACAATCACCATGTGGCGATTTCTTATAACATTTTTTCATAATATATTGTTCCTCTTTTTATATTAAAATAATGTACGGAAATGACAAACTATTAAAATAAGATCAGCATATATTCAAATATCATTAATGTCAATATTTTTTAAGACAAATATTTATCTTATCAATCGTGAAGGAAAAGATCATTGCTACAGTCGCTAAGGTTTTGAATTTATATCTATAAAATATTAAGTCAAAACTCGACCTTCTTAAGTTTAATATTACTAACTATCTCATCTTCAATTCATTTATTTCAACGTCTTGCATACAAAGATTGTCTAGCTGTGCATCTAGGTGACTCTTAAGAACAACCCAAATTGACTATCATCTTAAATATTTAAATGAACTTTATGATAAATAGTTAAATTCAACGTTATAAATTGAAAATTCATTCATGTTTTCTTCTGAATAGTTGTTGGTTTTTTTCAGAAACACCAGAATGTTAGGTTAAAAGATTATTACAAGAAGTAACACTTCAAGCGTGGAAAGGACAGAACATTACTAACATGGCGATTATAATCCGTAAGTATCATTAGAATATCACATTCTAAGGTAATAATTTATTACTTATAAGGGACCTTTTAGGATATTTGTCACCTCAAATTTTAGTTAAACTCCCTATTTTACTCACAGCAGAAAACCTAATGCTAAATTCAATTAATAAACTTACACAAAATGTTGGTCTGCTTTAAAATTACTTATTTTCAGTGTTCTCACAATAATATCTTAACGTCACACATATTAATTATTCTGTTAACATAAATAAATAATGATATTAAAATTCATTTTTTGTCTTATTTGAGGATTATAAACTTTTATTACATATTTAGTGGTGAAAAAAATACTAAATGTAAACTGCGTACAAAAAACACGTGTATTATGTACGAAATATAACATTTTATTCATAATGTAACGCAAAAAAAATATTTAATTATATTTTTGGATTAAGATCTCGTATATTATTTATATTGCTGAAATCTTATTTCCAATCAGTCATATATGGTTTTTTATAATTGATTTTTTTATTAATTCTAAATAATAAATAAATGATTTAACCCCTCGGTTGCCATCGCAATTTTAAGTGTCTATAACATTTTTATAATTAATTTGATATTTAGGGCTATACTATGTATCTTATATCTATCTCATGAACGTAACTAGCGTAGGCAAAATATTTGCCAAAACCAAATAAACTACTTAAACTAACCATATTTTCGGAATTATTTTATATACTTTCTAACTGTTAGCCATTGATACTAACGTTTGTCAAAGGTGGAGTATGTCTTCGGACTGGAGCACTTGTGCTGGTCGCGGTGGGAGACGTCTCCGCGAGGGTCGCGGGGAAAATGGGTGGCTACTCAAATAAAATGGGAGGTAAGAGTTGAAAACTATGAGACCTCTAACATTTACGGTGTCAATATTTCTGAGCTATTCGCATCGCTTACGGTATGATAATTCTAATTATTAAAAAATATTTCATAATGGATACTTTCACTGGGAAGTATTTTGATTTGCATAATACTATTCAGTATTAAATAATTATATAATGAAAATAAATAAGATATGAAATTACTGTGTTCGGATCTTTTATCTCACAACCGTGATATATATTATGTATCTACATGAAATTTTAATATAATTACCTGAGATTAAACTTTTTAATTTATTCGTTAAACATATTTAGTGTTATAGATTTACTTGGTATCATGAAATGAAAAGGTTTCTGACAGATAGACTAAAAGTTTTTATAATATTTTTAAAATATTTAACGGTCTTTTTTTCAAAGACATGGCTTTTATAAATAGCGTAAAGGTACAAGAGGACCGTTATTTTTGGTACATGGCCTTACAATTTTAAAAGGAAGAGACATGTTTTGTGTCCGTATAAGTTTTAGTTTATTTTAAAGAAAATAAAAATACAAATTTATTTTTTTACCTTCATTACAAATATAACACGTCCTTCAATAATACATCCGAAATCTTGGGATGAATTTTTATTTTTCCCATGAGTCATCAACAGCGACCTAAAGTAACTTTCGTCCGTATCCATGTTACAGCTTTTTGACAAGATAGAATGGATCACTTTTATGACTAAAAAAAGCAATGCGAAAATATTTTTTAAGATCTTTATAACATTTCTTTGAAGTGTTATATAATTGTGCGAATTCTTTTCTGACACATAAAAAGATTTGAAGTTAATAAAAACAGCAGCCATAAATATAATACAGATACACTACACTCATTAAAAAACTTGCAGGTAAGTCAACCAGTGGAATAAATGAAGAAATAATCTGGATAAGTATCAGCATGGCGATTGCGATCGCCGTACTTATAGCCATTGCACTCTGCTACATCTTGAAAGAAAAATGTACCAAACGACAGGCTTACATGGAACAATCGTGACGATACAAGGAGGAGTTCGCACGTAATGCTCTAGCGGACTCCCTTTCGGAATTAGAATTCCCCGCCTACACTCTCTACCCTCAGTATTCCCCCGATGGAACAGAATACTTTTACAACTTTCACCGCTTCACCTACCTGAGAGACAGTTTTAAATTACCACCAAAAGACTATCCTTCGTGTGGAAAAGATGAGATTTACATTAACGCGTGATGCTATCTACACTAGTGTATATTAATATTGTAAAGGATAATATTAAAAGTGTGAAACTGAAATCCTCTGAAATACTCGTGCGATAGAAAAATTCTGAAATCAATATTCATACAGTTATTGTCATAAAAATATTTCCATTGAAAAGTCAGTGACACCTTTGAGGTATCTTTTATATATAAATTATTTTGAAAAAACTTTCACAATAATAAAATACTAAGAGATAAGTTTGTAATATGTTTCTTATTAAAATAAGAAAATTATTCTTCACCCTAACCATGTGATTTTAAATATTTATAATATAATTATTGTTTCATTTAACTGAAAATAATATTTTTTTGTATTACAATTTATTTAACTATATTTATGTTGTGTTGGTTGCGAAATTTTTACACTTTTTTATGGTTAGCAAAGAACTCTGTTTATTCGTTTTGGGAAGGGTAACAAAACATATGTATTTATTCTTATTTTGTATTCCCTATCTTTTTTAACGCATAACTCATAGTTGGATTTGTATGTATTGAATTATCGTTAGTTGAGATACATCATTGATATTATCATGATACGGTTACCTTATCATTTTTCCAGTGAAAATATAATACAATCTGATAAATACCTTTCAAAGCTAGACATAAAAGTTTTGTAAATTCAATTATTCTTGATTTGTTGATTTTAGAAACCAAATAGCTATTACTGATTTATTAAATTTATGTGTGTACCAATATATTAAAAAGTGGTTTGTGTGTTTCCCTTGTGTTTTGTATTTAATATTTATTACATATTTCAATTTGCATGTCAAAATTGTAATCAATAAGTACAAGTTTCGTGCGGATAAAACCACGGGTAAACGCTAGTTGTAGATGTCATATAAGTGACTGTATGAGATATATGTGTGTAGATATTAGATTTAAATGAATAAACATTATATTGGAGCAAAAGGGATGACATTTCTTGATGTTTAAAATATATTGATCATATTGTATATTTTGTTGAACCATTACGTAAAGTTGTGACAGTGATAAATTTGCATTAAATAATTTGCTATTATACATAACTTTGTGTAAAATATATTTTTTTTGTCGTAAACGTTTGTTTAGTTTAAACAGATTTTTCCTTTCAGCATCTTTATTTTTTATTTGATATATACTAACAAATAGATAAAAGAAATTATTCAAATACGTTTAAGTGTCAAGAATTTTGTATATATAAAAATACGAATAGTGACGAATTTAAGGAAAAGTACCAACTAGTCGCCGTACGTACTAACATTAAGAATTTATAGTATCTGTTATCCTAATTTATATATATTAATACAGTGCGCTTAATTTCACAAATACTATTTTAGTGTAAAATTATATTTTCTCCAAGCGATGTATGTAATCCTTCCATTTGTGACCATCACTTAAATAAAATATAAGAATAACAGAGAATAAAAATATGCATACATACAAGAGTTGTTTAATTTTTGATGAACACTAATTCTGTCCTATACGTTGCTTGATACAAGAATAGGCATTGAAGTTTATATTCACTTCAATTTTTAAATTTAATATTGATCTTTTGTTTCGGTCTTTACTTTAAATCATTTGAATCGTTGCAAGTCTATAGCAGATAATGCGATTAAATGTTATTTTTATTAAAAGTTATTTATCAAATATAAGGTGTAATATAAAACATGATCGGAGATGTTTCAAGAAATATTTCTAAAGCTCGTTTTTAAAATTTATGAACAGCCTATGAAGCGATTCCTGAAAAGAAATAAGCTAAATTTCTTTTCATTACTTTCATTTATAGCTATACAGTAATTTAAAAATCAAATAAGCGTTAAGGAAATTTTATTGACTTAATCTTAAGGCGCAGATGCTTTTAAGGGCCTAGTTTTAATCTGATAACAATTTACTTTAAAGCTTAACATTCTCTTGCTCCTTTACCTTCGCGTTACCTTTAACACAAATTTAACCAAAAGGAATTTCCAGGTGACATTTAAACATATTGTATGTATGATTATAAAGTCAGATATAGATTTATTGGCGAAGCAGTTGTTAAGTTAGAGTAAAAGAAGAATTTTTGAAAAAAATATATTTTTTGTTTCTTAGGTAACAAAATGTAGACATTTTAAAGACAAGTTCAAATAACAGTTATTTTATGCGACCGCAGGCTGACCACGGCTGGTCCTGATGATTTAAGCTAATAACTCTTTGTGCTCACAGGTATAAAGTTGGGAAGTATCTCTATTAATATAGTAGAATAGAAGTCTGTGTGATATTATGTTTAAAAAGTCTTGTTCTTGAACGGTTTACTTTTTGTGGTTGTTGTAACTTAAGCATTTATTTTGTCTGATAAATATTCAAATTACGTATAATTTACTATTTATGTGATGCGTTTGCGGGCATAGTTTTTTTTAATTCTATGCTTTCTATGTTTAGACGAATTATAATCGTGAGCGGGCATATATTGTTACCAATTTTGATTATTGAAATATGAATAGCCTGACATGTCTATACATTTTCCAATATATGTTACATTCGGTATCCATTGGTTTTGAAGTACTACCTTTTAATGAGATCTAAGATTTTCGCGAGTACACATTTAAATGAAACTAATATTTTCGGATTTTACTTCGCGTTTTATTTTTGTATTAGAAACTACATACTCCCGATGTTTCGGCTACTTTTCAGCACTCATACTACCTTTTAATTGAACAAGAAAAAATGAATAAAAATATGATTTTACATTGAAATATCTGTACTCATCAAATATATCTACAGCTGATTGGTACAAAGTTTATACTCGTATATTCCAAATACATATATAGTTTTTCGTATACACTTACAACGCAAGCGATGCATGACTGTTAGACATTCTGATGTACATATTGAATACTCAGTTTTTATTGAATACTAGTTTTTGCCCGCGACTTCGTCCGCGTTAATTTCGTCATTAGTAATATAGGTATAGCTGACCGGGCGAACTCTATTCCGTCTTCAATAACCCGGTATTGGTATTTATTAAATTTTTCCTGTTTCAATCGAACAGAATGATTGACATATTAGTTAGCTGTCAAGTCTAATGTCAAAAAATCGTTTGTATGGGAAATAGAAAAGGGCTGTTTTTAGGGTTTTCCCGGCAATTATTCCAATTTTCTCACCCTTTAAACTTTTCCTGAAGCTCCACGAACATTTCAAGACTAAGATAAGATAAATCCGTTCAGCTGTTCTCGAACTTTGGCGAGACTAAGGAACAGCAATCCATTTTTATATATATAGAAGATATAAAACATAAAATATTTTTTTTAATAAAATAAATAGTATTTTTCACGGATCTCATAAATGTATAGCAGTAAAAAGAAAAATTTATAAAATTATGCATAATTATGTGTAAAAGAAAATTAATAAAAACAGAATATTTCATTGTACATTCATATAATTTATACATTTAGTTATAAATGAAATTCAATTTACTGAGTCAGGCTTAGATAAGATTTCTTTTCCACGTGTTTTGTATAATATCTTTTGTCCACAACTGAACCTGTGCACGCTATTGTACAATACTTATCTGTACCATTGACGAATACAATGACATAAAGAGCTGAAGGTATACAAAGCTTTATTTTAAATACTCTATGACACTGAATTTAAGGAATCTCTCATTGAAATTTTTATCACAGTATTTGCGAAGCGTTTGTGAAATAAATCCTTTATTAGATACAATTTATATTTTACAATTAACAATTTTTTTTTGTTTTATCCTTTACACTAATTTGATTATAAGTCAATTAAATAATTAACTACACCAGAAATATTATATTATGCATATTGACCATGATTGACGTTCTGGGGTATCCCCATATAACCGATAAAAATATATGCTGAGAAGAAATTGAAACCAAGCCAAAACACATATCACAGACGAACCATAAATTGGTTTCAGTTTCAGATTTTTATTTGTTACTCCTTGTATTTAATAGGTAAATTCTTATCTGGCATACCTGCTGAAATATTAAAAAAATATATAATTTCGTAATGTTATTAAATATATAGGTATATATCCTTTATTGCACAAAAACAAGACAGAAAATAACATAATAGAAAAAAAATATATATTACTGATTTAACTATGTAATTAATTTTATTTATTTATTCTTTCTCCGTATCCATCAAATAACGATGCACTATGCGTATGACTTTTAAACGCACAATCAAATATCATATAATAGGCATGTAATATAAATTAAAAGAAAATAAAGGGTTATGAAATTGTGTGCTATAAATTTAATAGTCTTTGTTAAAGATGTTGGTCATGATATAAGCTTCTGCCAAAAGGCGGGCAATCGCAGGCGGGGGGCTGGATGCAACCGGATTCCCAGCCCCCTGTCAGTCAGGCGAGGTCGGAGCGCCACTGGGTTGTTTTAGTGGGTATACCGGGAATCCTTTTCCCGGGGAGTCCCACATACCCCTCCCCGTCTCCCGACGGAGAGGGGATGCGTAAAGCATTTTTTCCCAGTGCGCACGAAAAAAAAAAATGATATAAGCTTCAATAATAACAATTCCGTACACAACTACCACGTATCAATGTTATCGGCAATCTTTTCTAGAGTCAACGTCAAATGGGACTTGTATTACGAAGCACAGAGAAATTCTTTTAAAGCATTATTCAATGCTCGAACTACTTTTAATTTTAAACAATAGATTTCAATAGTCTCTGCATATTTTTAATTAATATGCTTTCAGAAGATATTTTTCATAAAAAATGTAACCAAATAAAATGATGATGAGTTAATATCGGTCTGTTTAATACTAAGTACAATTTAAAATCAAATCAATATATTCGTCATTCAAGCAGCCATTTAAAATGCTTTCCAACCGTCAATGTATTGAAGTATCAGTGGATTACTCTATGAGTGAATATTAATGCCTTGTAGTGCCGTTCCGTTGAGAAGCCTAAGTTCTTATTACGTCATACTAGGAAATATGTACTTCAACTGGGTAATTACAGTACATATT